AATATACTGCAGTATTTCCTCTCTCAATCAGTAGAAAATATGGTTAACACCCGGTCATGCATCAAAAAAAAAATACCGTCATGTACCATGAAACTTTGAAAAATACCATGATATAAATTTTTGGTCATACCGCCCAGCACTAATTTACAGACATCAGGCTTCCGAACACAAGATAACAAAAACATTTATTTTGCATTTCTTCTGGATGCCCTGAGGTAAAAGTCATTTATTACATAGGGAAATACGTAATGTTTGTGTGATCCATCAATTAGGGCTGTGCGATTTGGGGGGAAATATCATTTCAAATATCATATATTTTTGACAGTATAGCCAAAACAACCGCATAGCCGCTCTTTAGTGTAGATGCATGCTGATTTTATCAGATGATGACGCGATTAGAAATGAGAGCTCCTGGTTAACATGTATTAAAAGTGTTTAGTCACTATTTAGTGTTGTATTTTTTGACAATATTCACTCATCATGACAGTGAAATAGGGCATTCTAAGTAAATATACTGCAGTATTTCCTCTCTCAATCAGTAGAAAATATGGTTAACACCCGGTCATGCATCAAAAAAAAATACCGTCATGTACCATGAAACTTTGAAAAATACCATGATATAAATTTTTGGTCATACCGCCCAGCACTAATTTACAGACATCAGGCTTCCGAACACAAGATAACAAAAACATTTATTTTGCATTTCATCTGGATGCCCTGAGGTAAAAGTCATTTATTACATAGGGAAATACGTAATGTTTGTGTGATCCATCAATTAGGGCTGTGCGATTTGGGGGGAAATATCATTTCAAATATCATATATTTATGACAGATATTGTATCATTATCCTGCTGAAAAAAACAATAGAAACCATCACAGAAATTCTTATAGTTTCCATTAAACCATTACAAAATTCCTTTTTGTCCATACTGCCAGATGCGCTCGTGAAGACTTGCGGTGCAGAGCCGGGTGCGAGTATAACCGAGCATTACGAGACCGGCTGCGTGTGTGCGGCAAGCATGAACGGCTCGTCCGTGACGCGGGATTCGCGCCGCGTGGGGCAGAGAGGAGCGAGTATGAGAAGCATTCACAGACACAGGCTGTGTGTGCACTCTTCTGAATTGGGAATAGCCAACATGCATCATAAACTTATTTCAAATTAATCTGTTGGGGAGATAAAATGTGTAAGATAATGTTCACGTACTAACAAAAACATCTAAGAATGTATCTTTTATTCTCCAGTACTGAAAACAGAACCGATACGGGAGCTTTTGATATCCGCTGTGACGCAGCTCTTTTTTTACTCTATTGTCCGTTGTCTGTCATTTCGAAGCTTAAGTTGCATACGGTTTTCTTTTTTTAATTTGCCTAACTATCGATCTGACCCCGTAGATGCCATAATCCCACTCTGTCTCTCTCCCGTCTCGCTTTTTCTTTTTTTTTTTTTAATGGTGGGCGTTTACGCAGTTGGCTAGAGCAGCTGATTGTGGAGAACGGAGGTGCGCTCACTCTTGCCCAGGGCAAGTAAGATTGCAACTCAAGGCTGGCAGTCATGCACATGCTCTGGAACAGAGAAATATCACGTCCACATCGCAGGCTTCGCGATTAAGAAATCGCAACGTCTCAAATCGCGATTTCGATTCGATTTCGATTAATCGCACAGCCCTACCATCAATGGTGGTCACCTTATAATAAAGAGTAAGTCCTCTCAGGAAGCTTGCAACAAATTAGTTTTGGGAAAGTTTAATCTAGTGAGATCAGCACTCACCACCCAGGGCTTCTTCTTCTCTAGCATCTGGATCCTGTCCAAGTGTCTCTTCTTCATGTAGTAGCGCTCCACATCCAGTTTGTTCCTCTCATTCCTCTGTCTGGCCTTCTCTAGGAAGTTGGCTTTCTCCTTACACACATTCTGTCAAAAACACCGCAAACAGGATGGAGTCAAATCAAAGCCCTATCACAGCCTTAAGATGCATTTCAAAACAAGAAGAACATTCACCTCCAGGTCCCTCTCCTTGCTGCGAAACGTCTTGAGTTCGCAGTGAAACTCGTACATTTCTGGCGGGCCGACGGATTTCTCAGTGGCTTCCAGAAGCTCGATCTTACTCATCTTAGCAAACTCACCAACCTTCTCCTGCAACACCAAATAAAAGACAAACTATTCATAAAAAAAGCTCTTGTGCAGTTCTTCAAAACTGCACAGATTTTAATAACAGCGCTCACCTGTGGTAGGAACTGACACAGGTTCCCGACCTGAATGTGCAGCTCTTTCACGGCCTCCTCCACAGCCCTCTGACTGGAGTGCTTCTTATTGAGCATCCATGTCGACTGGTTGTTCTCAACCTGGATCTCTCTGGTGATTATCAAGTTTCCACTCGCTCTGTATCTGGACACAAAGAAAAGCAGAGGTGAACTGAGCAACTCTATGTCTCTCCAAGGACTTTTGGAAACAATGGACATAGATAATAATATGTATAAATATACACTTACAGCTCAATTTCAACTGAACCCTTACTGCACCCTCGCTTCACATACAGACCAACCTAGAAACAGAAAAACATCTGGTTTATTTATTAGTCAGTAAATCTTGTTTTAGTATGACTGATCTACTATCACAACTTGCATTCATATTTTGAATTCATCTTCACTTTTACATTTTCATTTAGCTAACATTTAAATAAAAGTGTTTTTTGTAAACATGTCTATATAGTTTTTATTAATTCAGTTTGGTTTCAGTTATTTTAGTACTTCACGTGAAACAAAACACAAATAAAAAATTAAGCCTTCTTATATTTCATTTTTAGTTCATGTTAATTCTATTTCAACTTGAGAATGTTTTTTTTTTTTTTGGAATTATCATTTTACCTTTAAGATAATAACCCTAGTATTTCGTAATTAAGTGTTCCTGAACGTAAATGCTGAAAAAGGTATTGAAAAAGGAAACCAAAAGGATATTATCAGTGTCATATTTGCTGTGCTAATTCAAGCGCCAGTTCCATAAATGTACATTATTTAAGGCATATTTAACTCTAAATCATTCTGTGTCTCCGTTAACTACTTTTTAGGGTGGATAAACTTCTTGATATGCGTTGGACACAATTCCTGTGGGTTTATCTCTATATAAAAAAAAATCCTTTCTAGTATCATGTTTAAGTTGCGTCCAGATTAACCAGCTTGTACACGGTGTTTGCATGCTGACTACAGGCAACCAAATCATCTCGGCACAACTGCCTCCCAAGCATCTGCACATGCAAAAACCGCATTCACACAGATTTTTGAGTTCTGTGTGCACTAAACTACACAGATATGATCATCTGTGTGTATTTGCAAATCATACTGTGAGTTTTTGCACTTGTAAAAGCTTTTGGGACAGTGTCTAGAAATGGCTGGACAGCAGATGGCTGGTGTGAAAGGACCAGAAATGCTCATGATACTTCATCTACAATGTAATAAAGGTGTGTAACCTAACACGAGCTGTCAGGCAGCTCTCGGTGATCAGAGGAGAGAGACTCGCCTTGTCTCCTCGGCCCAGGACGGCTGTTTTCCCCGCCAGGCCCAGGCAGATGGCGCACACTATACTGGACTTCCCTGTGCCGTTGGCCCCCACGATCATGTTCAGCTTGGGTCCCGGGAAAACCTCCGAGTGGTCGTACGTGCTACAAACACAGATGACTAGTATTACAATAACTCACCACGATTTAATTCGAAAACACCTGACATGAAAGCGCAAAAAACCCTGTTATGGAAGACATTTAGAAGGATGAACTTGTTAAAGAGTGAACTCCTCACAGGAAGTTGCGCATGGTGATGCGGAGGATAGAGCCCTCCACGAAACCTCCCGCTTGGCCATTTGTGCTGCAGGACGGTGCCGCTTCGCGCCTGGAGGGCTGTGAGTTGGTTAATTCGTGGCTTATTCGTTTTCTCTTCTGCGACAGGTCCATTTCTCGTCCCGTTAACACCGCCGGTTGATTCCGCACCAGCGTCGCAACGCTTTCGTTTCGCGCTTGTGTTGTGGCAAGTCGCCGTGTGATTGGCCGGCGGTTGTCACGTGACACGTTCCAGGGTTGCCATATCGGGGCGTTTCACGTTATATATGTTAGGGGTGATGTGTGCGCTTACTACACACAAGCACTAGATGGCTGTAAAGAATTACCCTGTGATACAACATACTACTCTTTCCATTTCTACAGCATGTAACGTTCGTGTATACTGTGCGCAGTACGTGCATTTTATGTACCTGATGACATTTTGAAAAAGTGTGCAGAATTAAATCAAATGCCAAACCTTTTATTCTTGTAAAAACCTTTTTATATAAAAAACACGTTTTACCCTATTCAAGTTATTTATTTTACCCGATATAAACATTGCATTAATGTACTGTATATATATATATATATACATAT